TCCGAAGAAAACTTTCCTTGATCACAATTTACCAAGTGCTCAGTACTAAAGGAGGACATATTAATATCTATTCTGCCTACCTGCTAGAATAAATATAGCCTTGGTATATACTCACAATGTGATTTTAGATTTTTTTTCTTAATGCATTTATCTAGTAGCTTATGTTGAGTTAGAACTCCACAAAGTAGCCCAGAGTGCAATTCTGTCCCAGGCAGTATCTGCATCACCAGTTCAAGTCTTAGGGTCATGCTTATTCTTGAAAATTGATTCCCTAAAAGGAAAGACTTGTTCTGTTATCAAGTCAGCAACACTTCCTTATTCTTGCTTAATATGTGAGCCAGAAAATGGAGGTATGAACTGATGAAATATTTCTTTTAAAAGGATAATTGGAAATTAAATATTAAGTGTATTTAAGGATGTCTACTTGTTGCTAAAGTCATTGACACAGTGAGATCATTGGAAATCCCATTTAATGGAACCCTAATGGATTACTGGGAAAATAGTACTGTCCTGCCTTCACTTGCCTAACAGATATAACACTGATGTTAAACATAGTTCTTGAAATGGCAACTATTAAATAAGAAACATGTATTTGCAATTGTTTCAATATTGTGTTTCAATATTGCCTCAATATTGTTTCATAATCATGTCCTGAAAATGCTATTTATGACACTCACATGATGAAATTAAGACCTATGCTTGAGACCATGTATTTTATATTTTTTAAAAAAGTTATCAGACAACAAAGCCATGAATATGATTCAGAAAAACAGATTGAGAGGATTACAAATGCTGAATGCAGCAGGAAAGAGCCTTAAAAGTGCTCCTACCTAGTTGTTTAACAAAAGACCGCTTAAAATTAGTGAGAAAATTGAGAAGCTCAGTCTTGTGAATAGATTAAAACAGATTTTAGCACTGTTGATGACTAGATTATGAGAGGAAAGGCCTCCTTTGAGTTAACATCTAATGGAAAACACATATTTCTTAGTAGCATGATAGTAAGCCAACAAGAATTATGAATGCAGATCATGACTCTTTCTCCATATGAAGTATTATCAATAATTCTTCCAGAGTGGGATTATCCAATTAAAATGTAATATGTAAAATTACCTTTTTCTAAATGACACATTAAACTAAAAAGAAATAAGTACAATTAATTTATTTACCCAATATGTCCAAGAAACTTTGATTTAAGATGGAATTACTATAAAACTCCTTTGTGTTGTGTATTTTATGCCTATAGCACATCTCACTTTGAAATCGTTGCATTTCAAGGGCTCCCTGGTCCCACATGGCTCCTGGTGACTGTATTAGCCATCAGAGCGACAGACCTTGAATATAGCTGTATCTCTCCCAAAAATATTTTTCGACTAAACTTAAGTTAAAACTAAGAAATTCTCAGAATATTTAAAGCAGTTTAGCAAAAGGAAAGCCAAATTAATATAACTAAGATTAATGGCATCAAATTTAAAGCTGAGAAAGGGGAGGAGAGTTTCATCTAACTTCTGAACAGAATTTTGAAAAACACAGTTAATGATGTGAATGGGTCTCATAAGTTATGCCAGTGTATAGTTATGTGGTTATGATAATACTATACAGTGTTATGTAAAGAAAGCTTTCATTTTAATTCCACGAATAATTGAACATTTATCATAGACTTGGGTATGACAACAGATTGGTAAATCAGCAGTGTCTCTGTGCTCCAGGGACGTGAAGTCAAACAGGGAATAAACGCATTGAGTTAATTTATTGTATTTTTGAGACAGATTAAATTTGTTCTGTAAACTAGTAGAAGATGGAACAAGTAAATCTAATGATAATTAAGGAAAAGCAGATTTTATTAAGCAAATCTGTATCACATATTTGTTCAGAAATGAATCCTGTAGCCCTGAAATTGGACTGAAATCTTTCATCACTGGAATATTTGAAGGGGCCTACCTGATTTCGTATTGGAGGAAACAAAGGAGATTTCTGAGTTGAGAGGGAAGGTGCTTTACCTGGTATGTAAGATTCTTTCCAATCATACCATAGCATGATTATATAATTACTGACAGACATTTGTCATTAGAATTATTTTTATACAGTAAATGTATGATTTCAAACAATTTGAATGCATTGATATCTATATCTATCTATCTATCTATCTATATCTATCTATCTATCTATATCTATCTATCTATCTATATCTATATCTATCTATATATCTATATCTATATCTATCTATATATCTATATCTATATCTATCTATATATCTATATCTATATCTATATCTGTCTATATATCTATATCTATAGATATATATCTATATCTATATCTGTCTATATATCTATATCTATATCTATATCTGTCTATATAGCTATATCTATATCTATATCTGTCTATATCTATATCTATATCTATATCTGTCTATATATCTATATCTATATCTGTCTATATATCTGTCTATATCTCTATCTCTATCTCTCTATCATCTCTCTCTCTATCATCTCTCTCTCTATCATCTCTCTCTCTATCATCTCTCTCTCTATCTCTCTCTATCTCTCTCTGTCTCTCTCTCTCTGTCTCTCTCTCTCTGTCTCTCTCTCTCTGTCTCTCTCTCTCTCTCTGTCTCTCTCTCTCTCTCTGTCTCTCTCTCTCTCTCTGTCTCTCTCTCTTTCTCTCTCTCTCTTTCTCTCTCTCTCTCTCTATATATATATGGCATCTACATATGGCTATATCTATTGATTCAGAAAGAATGTATTCTACAGTTATTTCAGCACCAAGAATTGGAGTGTAAATTAATAACTGTTAATAAAAAAACTAATAAAACCACTTATTTTTTCTCTAAACCACTTTCATCTTGTTTCCATTCATTAGACTATTTCTCCTCCCCTAAACAAACTCTATTATTTTTCTATCAATCCCAAGTTTAGCCAAGTGAGTGAGGGAATAAGAGTACCATCCTCTTTTAAGCCAAAGAGAAATATGATTGGGAAGATGAATTTTCTACTTCTTTCCAAAGTATAAATTCTAAATGTCATATCACTTTGTTTAAATACTGTTTAAAGTTAGAATTTGAGAGCTGATACATTCATGTAAATTCAGCCACAAGTCTTTAAATCAAGCATTTATCCTAGTTTACATCAATTTCTGTTTGATCTGTCAGACTATGGTTCCCATGGAAATGGCTCATCTTTAAATGTTAACATTCATGGCTAAACTTCTTCAGGTTTTCTTTATTAAATTATTTCTGCTTCCTCTTTCTTATGTAAAACTAGTCATGTGCATTGTTGGCCAGTCTTAGAATTCTACCCTAATCTAATATCCTTTCTTTCCAATTTTGATGTCTTGAGATTAGTGAGTCTAGTAAATAGATCTAATGGAACATAATGAGCATTTAAAAGTTACACTGTTTACATCATTGTAATAGTCTGTTTATATGAATAGAAAAGAATGTGGCTAGCTGCCTACACACAGCTGGAAATGCAAACATGACTCAATTAGATAGCAAGTGTTCTGTTTTAAGACTGATGAAACAGAATGAGTTTATACCATGGGGAATTTAACGCAGAACATTAACACTAGTGGTCTCAATACAGGCATCACAGACCTCATAAATAACAGCATCGAAATAATAAGCATGCTATAGAATTGAAAATATTTCATTCCAACATTACTGGACAATGATTCTGTCTTGTCTATCATAGTTATTATCCTCAACAAAATAGGAAATTATTTTTAATAATGTTTATTTCTTTATTTTGAGAGAGCGAGCAAGGGAGGGGAAGAGATAAAGGGAGAGAGAAGATTCCAAGCAGGTTCCATGCAATCAGAGTAGAGCCTGATGCAGGGCTCAATCCCACAAACCGTGAGATCATGACTCTCACTAAAACCGAGTCAGACACCTAACTTATAAGCCACCCAGGCGATCACCCCAGAAATTCTTTTTTAAGTTTATTTATTTATTTTGAGAGAGAAAGTGTGAGTCGGGGAGGGGCAGAGAGAGGGGGAGAGAATGCTAAGCAGGCTCCACATTGTCAGCATGGAGCCAGAAGTCACAAGACCAAGACCTATGCCAAAGTCAGATTCTTAACTGACTGAGCCAGCCAGGCACCCCCAAAATAGGAAATTCTAAAATGAGAATAGAGATTGGGTTTGATATTACAAATTTTATAATTGTTAGATTTCTGCTCATGTTAGTACAATTCAATGTAATTTTGAAATTCATTTCTTGAATAATCAGTCATTCCTATGTTGGATCCTTGTTTGAGGAAGACCACTATTATTCAAATTTTCAACCCAGATAATTTCGCCAAAGGAAATATATTCTTTATGATAAACTTAAACTTACAGAAAAGAAAATTGCTATATGAAACACTACAATATTTTTGTATATCAAATATTTTAAACTTTTTAAAATAAAAATTTTATTAATACTTTATGACTAGTTAAAGGTCCAGATGTGACAAATTTGCTTAGTAAGTGGTGTTTTCTGTTTTGCTGTCACTGTAGACAAATGAAACTGTTTACCAAAATCTTGCCTTTTTATTCACACTATACAACTGTAGCTGGAAGATGGTCACCAAATCAATGATTCCATTTGCTACCTCTGTACCACCCGCTCATTCCTATGTGTGGTAATTGTACTAGTCATTGTACTGGTACCAGTGATCAGTCAATTGAATGAAAAGAAAGGTGGCCTGTGCCACATTGGGTGGGACCAAGGCTTTCAAGAAGCAGATGTGCCTTCCTCATGGTTTGACCCTTTCTACTTGATGGTTGTTGATAACAGGCTTTTTGGGATGCTAGAACAGCAGAATAAAAGGTGTCTAGGGCAGGAATGTCAGTGTGGATGAAAACAGGTCCCTTATCCCAAACGACTTGCCCAAGAATGAAATATGAAAGAGATATAAACTTTCATTAAGTTGGGCCCCTACGTCTTCAGATCTATTTTTACAGCAGTCAACCTGTCCTAACCAACAAGGGCCTTTTTTTTTTTTTTTTTTTTTTGAATTTGATTCCCCATTCAAATGGTTTCCCTTCTTTCTTGCTCTTCCAAAGGAGGGAAGAAAGATCATCAGTTGTAAAGGGCAGCTGCAGAAGCAACACCCCAGGATGAGCTTCACATTCTAGATGGCACCTTGCCCTTCATCTATGTAGTTTCTAGTACTGCACATGTTCAGAGAAACTTCTCTAGTAACAAGCTGTAGAAATGATCCCTGAGTGTAGTCTTTCATTTTTTTGACATCTTTTATAGAGAATGTTATAAATGATCAATTCAGTGTCTTCTAGATTGCAATTTCCATAACAGAAAGATTGGTGTGTTACTTGTCAATTGCTGAGACTCTATAGTGCCTATCACTTTGCAAGCACTTAATAAGTATTTGATTAATCAAAGAAACAAATATCTTATAGTGGACTAAAAAAATGGTGTTCATTTGTGTGTGTGTGACCCATAAGCAAAGATTTGGCTCTTAAGTCCTTAGCAAACATTTAGCTTTTGTATTTCAACCCAACTAGAATGTTTCTCCCAGTGGCTTCTGGACAGAACATTCCCAGCTGTTTAGTGCTGCATAGCAAAGCTCTGACAGCTTTCAGAACAAGAGTCAATATTAGTTAATAATCCATCTGCATTTGCAACTATTTTATTTCATGAGAGTGACAACTTCTATTCCTCCAGCTACCAATTCCTTTGGGATTGGTGTTGCTGAACTTTAGTATTCTCTGATAGGCTCCAAGCTGTGACTATAAATCCCTTTGAGTTATTCACTATTCATTCCCACTCAACATGTTCCAATTAACTTATAATAAATATTTCCCAAATATTGCACATCTTACATTTTTAAAATCAGAAAAAAGTTATACTACTTCTCTTCTGTACCACAAGCCATCTTTTGGCATCTTTCTGTATCAGACACATTTGGTGATGATGTATTTTAGTTGATATCCATCTCTCAGCTCCATCAATAGACCCAAATTATTCCTTTCATTCTACAGCAGGATATATTCAGAAGTGACAGAACTTCAATACTGAGAAAACTGCACAAGCTGACTGCATAGGATTCTGGAGGTCCCTGGCATGAGAGTGTGTATATGTATGTAATAATGCACAGCCTACTTTCAGGCATTTTATACTGAAGAATATCCTAATTTCTTAATTAACAGTCTTGTTCTTGATGTTTTCTTTTGCCTTCTGGATTTGTTTGAAAAAAATCTAGCAATTGTTTGCTTATTTGGGTTCTGGAAAGAACCCTATTTCTACTGTAGTTCAAGTGGTAGATAGATGAAGAGTATTAATGCTTTTTAGTTTTATGTGGGATGTGTAGGGTGTGTGTGTGTGTGTATGTGTGTATGTGTGGTCCTTTTTTGTTGCTGTAGTTGTTTCTTTTCTTAATGGTTGTTTATCTTAAAAGAGACAGAGCGTGAGAGGGGGACAGGCAGAGAAAGAAGGGAAGAGAATCCAAAGTAGGCTCCAGGCTCTGAGCTGTCAGTACAGAGCTGGACTTGGGGCTTGAACTCACAAACTGTAAGATCATGACCTGAGCTGAAGTTGGATGCTTAACTGACATGAGCCACCCAGACCTCCGTATGTTGCTATAGTTTTGTTTTGTTTCTTCATTTTTTAAAAATTTATTTATTTTGAGAGGCAGAGAGTACAGAGGAGGGGCAAAGAGATAGGGAGAGAGAGATCCCAGGCAGGCTCTGCACTGTCAGCATGGAGCCCGATACTGGCCTGGAACTCCCCAGTCGTGAGATCATGACCGGAGCAGAAACCAAGAATTGGACGCTTATTGGCTGAGTCATTCAGGCACCACTGTTGTATAGTTTTAAAACACATTTTGGTATGATCATAAAATCTTAGGATTATAAGAAACTTACTATCCAAATAATTCAACTTCTCATTGTCTATTAGTGATTCCTGCACAGATGCTATTTTAAAAAAGAAAGCTGGGGCGCCTGGGTGGCTTAGTCGGTTAAGCGTCTGACTTTCGCTCAGGTCATGATCTCGCATTTCGTGGGTTCGAGCCCCGCTTCGGGCTCTGTGCTGACAGCCAGCTCGGAGCTTGGAGCCTGTTTCAGAGTCTGTGACTCCCTCCCTCTCTGACCCTCCCCTGCTCACGCTGTCTCTCTCTTTCTCTCCTAGAAATAAATACAACATTAAAAAAAATAATAAAATAAAAAAAATAAAAAAGAAACCTATTTGACCGATGAAAGAGATATTGCTAGTCCTTTGCTGATGTTGTTAAACAGAACGTCAGCCTTACCTTGTATCTCTTAATAATTATTGTCATACTGACTGGTACTTCTGCTTAAAAAAATATTTAAGCCAGAATTTTTATAAGTAATTTGGAATAGTTTTCCAATTTGAAATGAAGTTTTGGAGTTGTATTCAAAGAATTCTAGAAACTTGTAGAACCAAGTTTGAGGCTATTGCTCAGGGACATTCATATGTAGCAGTTAGTACAACTGACAATACATCTGGATCTCAGAGTTCTGTGTCCTAAGTTCTAGAAGGGTGCTAGAGAACACATTGAACATAACTGTGAAAGCTTTTATGAGATCATTCTGAAAGTACTTCAGTTTTTCTCAAATGTAGTAACCTAGAGGTTTTGCATTTAATATTTTGCTTTAGATTAAAGTGATAAATTAGATTATTAATTAGATATTCTTTTCACTAAAAGCTTTGATAAACCCTTGATTTAAGATATCATAACATAGGCAGAACAAAAGCAATGTATTTCTCAGATGGTAGCTACAGCTTGACACTGATCTCGGTCAGCCAAAGCTCTAGCTCTTCTGGATTGCGCCAACAATTATTGTGGTCCATTAAACTTATTTTGACATATTTTATATAAGGACTATTTCATATATGTCAATTTTTATGCTAAAGAGATAAATCCTAAATGACCAAATCCTAAATCAAATTGTACAGCAAAGGTTGTAAAAATACCAAAAATAGGGGTGCCTGGGTGGCTCAGTTGTTAAGTGTCCGACTTTGACTCAGGTCATGATCTCACAGTTCGTGAGTTTGAGCCCCGTGTCGGGCTCTGTGCTGACAGCTAGCTCAGAGCCTGGAAACTGTTTCGGATTCTGTGTCTCCCTCTCCCTCTGACCCTCCCCTGCTCATGCTGTCTCCCTCTCTCAGAAATAAATAAAACATTTTTAAAAATTTAAAAAATACTAAAAATAAAGTTAAACGTCAAATCCTAAATTCATAGTCATTATAGTCAGTCAAAATGATATTAAAATTTAAAGAATCATAAAACAAAAGCAAATAATGATTTTAGGTTTTCCAAAATAAGTGAAATGGCAGTATTTCACTTCTGCTTCTCTTAATCTCTATGGTTATGCTTGGGTTGTGATAACTGATAAAAGCTTGCTCTTAAAAGATGGTTAGATATTGGGGTGCCTGGGTCTCTCAGTTGGTTGAGTGCCTGACTTTGGCTCAGGTCATGATCTCACTGCTCCTGAGTTCAAGCCCCACATGTGGCTCTGTGCTGACAGCTCAGAGTCTGGAGCCTGTTTCAGATTCTGTCTCCATCTCTCTGCCCCTCCCCTGCTTGCATGCTCTCTTTCTTTCTCTCAAATATAAAATAAAACATAAAATTAAAAAAAAAACAGGTTAGATATGAATCATTTGTGAGGTTTAAGACCTGAGACTTCAGGAAGATGAGAAACATCTTGGACGATGGATAAAACGGGGGCAAATCATGGCACTTGAGGTGTTCTCTAAGAAGATTATCTAGGTATCAGATGATGAGGATGGTGACTAGAGTGATAGCAGAGGAGTGCAAAGGAAATAAACCCTCAAATCCAGAACACAAACAGGACTTGAAGCTAGTTACTGACAAGTGGGTATGAAAGATGATAAATCAAAAATGACAAGGAATTCATCCGGACACTGAAGAAGGAGTGTATCCCAAAGATTCCGTGGAATTTGGTAAGATAACCAGTTTAAGCTTTAAGAAAGCAAACTACAGCAAGCTGGATAATTCTGTGTCTAGCCAAGAGTTATCTCTGATGAAATGTGGTGGAGATAAAGGAGAATTGCTCATCTTTCAATGTCAAAGTAAAATAAACACATTTTCTTCAAGATTATGACAAATAACATGATTTTCAACATGTTATTAAAGGAATCTTGACTTTTTTTTCAACTTGGGTGGATTTGTCACTCTTAACTGTTGATAATATTATTTGGTAAGTATGATTAGAATTCTAATGATTACCCTGGCAAATCAAGTAAAAGTTAGCAAGTTTTTGACTATTATATATTCAAAAAGCATGAATTTAAAATTTAAATTATTCATGATCATACTTCACAAAAATACTTCCAGTTTATGTGACAAAATTGGGGAACAAAAGTTAGAGGGTAAAATATATGCAATAAGTCATATCTAGTTAGTTCTTCCCTTTAGTAGACATTTAAAAACAAATAAAACCAAGCAAACAACTTTAATGGGTTGGGTTTGAGGTGTCTGCTTTCTCCATTTCTGAGTGCGTTACTTCAGCTAAGTATTCAGTTCTGTAAAATAAGAAAATATGGGGGAAAAGAAAATTACTTGGTCTGTTGTGCCTAATAGATGATGTTTAACATACTGACAAAAAAAATATGTACTGGAACAGAAATTTTACAATTTAGGTCAATTATACACTTGGGAAGGGCAAATTTTGTTGAATACGGAGTATGTTGAAATGCTCAAGTTATTTTTCACATGTTTTGGGCCTTTTTTTCTTTTTAAAGAGGTTTTCCCATTATTTAAAAACCCAATGGAATTGTAATGGAACTGGGAAATGTAATCCATATGTTTTGGAACCTGTTACAATTAAATCATCAAATTACCATTCATATTTGACCATTTAAAATACAAGATCTTTTCATAAATGTATATACACTCACACAAGAAAATAATGCTGAGCTCATAGAATTACTTTTTGGTTAAATATTTCACTTCCAAATACTTATTTTTACATAAATGTTGAACTATTAACCAACTACATGATATTAGGATAGTGATATGTATAAACTGATTAATAATTATTACTAATATATCATTAGTGGTAATATATTCAATTGTCAAGAACAATTTATTATTAAGTAGGGAAAAACTTTCTGTTCAGTGTTCCTGTGTCTATCCCCAATTCATTATCTAAACATGTAAGTATTTCTGCAAACAAATCTGCCCAAGGACAAAATACTTCCAAGTGTACTCAAATCTGTAACTCTTCTGCTGA